ATATAAGAAAACACATTTTCTGAGTCGTTTCTGTGTCTAATGTAATGTAACCGATACTAGCAAAATAGCAAAGCATAGTAAATACAGCGCATATACATTCGAGTTGTACTGTTTCACACAAAACTCTACTTTTCTTTTGCATAAAAAAGTCTAGATATATTGAATCCAGTTTGTATCGGTTGTGCAGTGCAGTCAGTGTACCTGCTCTCCGTGTTATTGAGAGCATGTGACCTCAGCCATCCTTTCATTCTCTCGCCCCTGGAGGCCATAAATGTGTCGACAGGCTTGTTGAACTCTAATTTTAGCCGTAATCGTTAGCGGTGAGTTCTGATGAGGCCTGCCAACATTTAATGAAGTCTTAATTTCTAGTGTAACTCTGATGAAACAGCCTAAAGCATTGTGTTAAAACAGCCACTTACAGGTTCAAGTGGCCAAACAGATTAAGATAAAGAGATAAAACCAACCTGAAAATCTTTGTCATTTACTATCCTGCATGTCCAAGTATAATTTAGTAATGGTATACAAAAAAAGTATTTGTGGATTTATTGACAAACCCTAGTGACTGATAACAATATTATAATTCAAAGATGTGTCGTTTTGTTACTGGTTTTACTGGTTATGCTGTTTGAGCTGTGTGGTCAATCAGCTCAGGTCCAGACACAAAGTGAAAAAGCAGCCAGCTGTTTGTGGTTGTACATCTGTCAGATGGAGAGTTTCTCCTCTCCTGGCACAGTGAAGGAGGCTCAGAGCTCACTACCACTCGTCTCTATACACTGACTGTAAGATGTAGTGGTTCACCACATGTACAAAAAAAACATGCTTTGTTAGGGAGGGGGTCGACTGGTCAATGTTTAGTATGCTAAAAGTCTTTATTTTTAAGTTTAATTTTTCCAAACATTTGTTATAGGCTATATTTTGTCAACTTGTCATGAAAAATGTCTTTGACTGAATTAAAAACGGTATACTTTAACAAATCCTCCCACTCTGACAAACTGAAGTTCAATATACAAAAAGCAGAAAATACTAAAAAATAAATAAATAATTAAAACATGAAACTCGATTCAGAACTGCACTTAAAGGTGGGGTAGGTAATTTTGGAGAAACCAGCTCGAGTGCGCTAGAATTTGAAAATACACAGCCGGAAAAAATCTGCCACTTCTTTACAGAGCCCCTCCTCCAACACACACGAACGCGCATATGACCAATGAGGGCACGAGATAAGTGTGTGCACAGATCGTCTATGGCACAGATGGAAGGCTGACAGGCAGGTACTGTAGGCCTTCCAGTTATTTTAGCCGGGCCGGCTAAAATAATTGGTCGTGCTTTTTACAGTACTACGGCTTTCACAGATTACATTTTTTTTAATGGATTTTTTGTCAAAGCACTTATGATATTCATTGCTATCGGGATGTTAAGAGCATTCCATGGACAACCCTGTCTCCTAAAAATTACGTTCCCACAGAGCTAAACTGCATTCTCAATTACGTTTTAGCTAGAAACGTATTTTCTCCCATGTCACGTTAGTTATGAACGTATCTCAAATACGTTTATTTTCTACATATCTTTGCCATTTATTATCTTGCTTATAATAATGATAATAGTCATTTATAAGTATCATTTTAGAGCACAGATTTGAAATCAGTAGGCAAGGCTGTAATTTCACCAGCTGTTACTCTTATGGGCGAGGCAGAAAATAATAATTTTAACATGCCATAAAGCTGCTGTGTTGTTTATTTCATCTCAAACATAAAAACAAATCCAGAGTTACGTGTTTCTGTACTTCCTCTAACAAGAAAGGACAGTAACAGAAGATCTCTGTGACGCCAGATGTGGTGTTGTTAATGCGATATGATATCCGGAAAAAAATTCAGTTTAGGATGGCCGAAGACACTACACTACCCATAATCCCCAGCTATCATTTGGGACTACAGTCCCGTTGACAAACCCCGTGATTAATCTTCAAGGTCTGGGATTGGTTGTTGGAGTGGCAGTGTGCCAAGGTTACGCCGAGCGTCAAACTCTTTGAAATGGAACGAAACCACGGCAGACTATTCAAAACTGGACTCGAACGCCCCCCCAGAACTACACATGCTGGCTCTACTGGGAGTGTGCCTTGGCAGTCTCAGTTTTCGTTTTCCCAAAATTAGAAGTTGACAGTATTAAACTGTGTACAGCCCTGGAGGTTTAGGCGATACGAAACCAATTGGTGTGCACAAATTTAAAACATATAATTACTAAATGGGTGAAAATCGCTTGTATCCATAATGGGCAGCATTAATATATTAACCACATGACAGCTCATTGTTACTTTGTAATTCTACTCCAGTACAATTCAGAGGTTAAGCTGGTATTTTTACTCCATTAAATTTATTTTAGTTACTTTGCAGATTCTGATTAATGATGTGAAATATAAACAACCCTTAAAGCAGACTTTAGTTACACCTGAGTAAAATTCAGGGACTTGTCAAGTGCCAACAATCAGGCGAGATATTTGATTGCTGGTGCTTGAGAAGACTAAACATTTATCTACAGATCTCTATAAAGTATATTAATTACTTTTTATTTTTCTAGTAATAGTTAATTAAAAACTGTATATAATTGCTATTTTGCACATCCCTTTCAAGATTTCAAGAATTTCTAAGGTTTATTGACATATCATACACACAACTACGGTGTAGTTATGCAATGAATGAAA